AGTTATTTTGTAGTCATTCATCTCTCCTTGATATATGATATGTGTCTCTCCTCTTTTTATTTTTCAGGAGAACGACTCTCGACGCAGACGATGGAGCAATCAGACCCTGAGCCAGGACCTGATGCCATCGAATAACCTCACTACGATGCGGAAGGTATGTTTAATCTCACAATCTATTTTGCAATCTTCATCTCTTCTTAATAAATGACTTAACTTTAAACTTGTATTTTCCAGAACAAGCAGAACCAGGACTCATCGTTATCGAAGAACCTCAGCCAGGGCCTTCCAAAAGACAACGGCTTATATAAATTTTGCATATTATAATTTATAATCATAATAATATATGATCATAAGTAACGAGATTTCAAGTTTTATTTTGTTACGAGTTCTACCCACCTACTGAATTTGCATAATTTTTCCCTTTTTTCTTTTTAATTACTTGTGTGAAAAACTAGGTGACATTTAGCAAATGACAGCATCCATAAAAATTAAATATTGAAATGTAAAAAGTGGGTTTTGCATAAAATGCTAAAAATTTACAATTTTCAACTCGCACTAGAAACCGAACGATTTGTCTGAAAAAAAACTAAATACTGGTATTTGTAGAAAATTTCAAGTACTTTAAACAGACCATTTACCAAAAGTTGATAGTTTTTGAGTTTTAAGCAAAAAACCCAAAAAAAGGAGGAAAAAAAACAGTTTATTCTGTTTTTTTTTAATGTTGCGTCACGAAATTTTGTCCGCAAACCCCAGATTTGGATTAAGCACCCCAAAAAACATATGGAATAAAAAAAATCAGAACTACCCCAAAACTTTCGTAGCAAAAATACAATTTAACTGAACTAATTGATTTTTTTTTGTAAGATAAAAATAAAAAATCAAAAACTTCAATTTGAATTTTTCGCATAAATATTGAGGTTATGTAAAAATAGCATAACTACAAAAGTTGTAGATCTTTTTATTACGTATTACTTTGCCATTTAAGTTTTTTTCATTGGATTTGTAGTTTTGACCGAAATAGTGAACCATTTTTAAACCTTAAAAACTTACCCCTTCCAATTCTCGAGCACAGATCGCTAATAAATTATTTTCTCATTAATGTTTGTTGTCTATCTACTAAAACTTACCAATTGCGTAAACAAAAGTGTAAATATAATTGCGGTATACAACGTAATATTCATTTTGGAGTAATAGACGTACAGAAGATATTCAATACATACTATAAAGGAAGAGAAAATTTGAAGTAATCTTAGCAGAAAGTAATCTCCGAAGTATTCTGTAAAATGTTTTACACCAAAGTATAAATCCTTATACACTAAAAGAAGATTGTGCATTTTTACATCACAAAATGAAACGCATGCAATCATTCGCTGCTTATGTTCCAGTTTTTTGATAGCTTCCTGAAGTACTTCAATTTTTTCCCTTAGACTAACCGTTACTTCGATTATTAATACATCTGACAGTACAAATTGACTTATTGATATATTTACGAATGGAAAGAAACCCCAATTGTAACTAAAGTAACTGTATAACATTATAGTTATTATAATAAAATTGCTAAAAAGCAAACAGTAGAACATTGTTTTCAAAATTCTGAGCGCTTTGGATTGTATCAAAGCTCCTAGATTTTTGTCTATTTTGTACATGATACTTCTGAATTTCAAACAAGTATTTCTATTTACCGTAAGTTGTTTAACAAACACTATATTTGCCAGTATAGCAGATAAAATATAAAATCCAAAAAATATTCTTCTATCTATATCCAGCGGTTCTTTTTCTAATAAAACACACATTAAACACAAAATTGCAATGGTTGTAGACAAGAACTTCCAAAGCATTTGCATCACAAACATTTTCTTATTCTCAGATGGAACAATACCAAACATTTCAGCAATATTATAATATATACCAAACTGGCTCATGTCAGCAAATGTTGGTCCAAAAGAAGCGTTTTGTGTAAATTCAAATTCGAGAACGTCCACTGAATTAATTTTTTTTATCGTTACAAACGCTTCTGTTCAACTGGAATGAAAAGTTTAAACGGTTTACCGATTATAACAGAGATTAAACTTGTTACATAATGCATTTACATTCATTACGATAGAAGGCATCCATGTTTGTATTCATTCTAATTTTCCATATTGGAACAATAATTCTATTTCAAGAACCACTTTAAGAAATGAAGCCTTAATCTAAACTGTTTTTGGTATTAAAAGAGAGCAATATAATAGAAAGCTTTAAACAAACCTGGTTATAGACACGTATTTACAGTTTTTAATGGACTCAAATAAAAGGATTTGTGATATATATATATATATATATATATATATATATATATATATATATATATATATATATATATGGGAGCAAAGATTTCTCCTATCATTGCAACTTACGTTATGGATTATGTGTTAGACTCAGTCATTCCTTTACTATCCTTTCAAATTCCATTTATTAAAAAATCCAATTCCAATGACAAGGTAGATGAACTATTACACACCTTTAATAGTTATGACCCCTACATCCAGTTCACTATAGAGAGGGAAGATGGTAATTGTTCCGTCCTTTTTCTCGACATAAGGATGATTAGGGAAAACAACAACATTAAAATAGATTGGTATCAAAAACCGACACATTCTGGTAGATGCCTTAACTACCACTCTTACCATAATAACTTTACCAAAGTCAACTTAATCAAACAGATGAAAAATAGAGTAGTTAAACTATTAGATCCTTCATTTCATACAAAAAACCTACAAATCCTTCTGAAACTTTTTATTTCAAACTCTTATCCAACACCATTAGTAAATAAGATTTTGTTTAACACTATCCATAACGAAGATACTTCACCTTCCATCGTGACTAACAATGCTGATCCTGATGTCTTAAGTAGGAACCCAGTCTCGGATACTCCTATCAATAAATATTTTTCATTACCCTATTGCAGAGATATCACTCCGGGGTTAACAAGGATTCTAAAAAGTTTTGAAAATAGCTTTGGGAATAATAATAATAACATTAAACTTAATGTGGCTTGTAGATCAGCCCTAACAATTAATAATCTTTATTCGAAGATAAAAGATAAGACTCCCATAGATAGGCTTAGTAATATTGTCTACAACATTCCATGCCTCTGTTGCAGCAATTCCTACATCGGCCAAACATCTCAATTATTGAAATCACATATTACACTACACAAAAGTGATTCTCGACTTCACCCTGACCACTGTGCATTAGCGAAACATGTCCATTCAACTGGTCATCATATGGACTATACGAACACTACAATTCTCCACCGTGAGAATAATAAATCTAAAAGAGAGTTCATTGAAATGTCTTATATTTTCCTTAACGATTTATCCATCAATGTTAAGAGTGACATTAAAAATCTAAGTGATATATACCACTTCTTACTTAAATCAGATACCAAGAACAATACAACATCACAGATAACTAACTTGACTGATATATATAATAACAACTAACCTACTTTAATAATAATTTTCATTAACTAAAAAAGATAACATTCCCTTGCTTTTCTTAGATACATCTCAATAAGATATTATTATAATAATACATGAACAATATACTAATTAAAAAAAGAATTTCAATTAAGAAAATTCTAAACTAATATCTCCCCTGACTGGGATCTAACTTCATCGGTTTTACCAATGAACCTTAACGACATAAATATTTAAAAATACTACTTGTAATTGTTCAGCGCTTGCGTTCTATGAAAACAGAAGCTCACATTCAAACTTTATAACAATCAAAAATTTAGTTATTGCCGACAATTCAAAGAATTACTTCCTTTAAATGTACTTACATTGGGTTTTTTGATTAACATTGGGTTAACCTTTGCGTTTTAAGTTCAAAGCTACCATACATTTCCAACGTTAACAAATAAACTTTTTTGCACATAGTAACAAAAAAACACCACTATGTTGTTACTAGCTAAAGTTTTTTAACATCATAACTCGACATTTCTAAAATTTACTGAAGGTAAATGTTTTTTATTAGATAATATATGGTAGCTAATTATAATTTATTCTCTTTCAGCCCTGAAGAAGCCAAATTAATTCTCTTTGGCGAAAACGTTAGGCGAAACAATTGATACACATTAGAGTTTTCTTGCAGATTTCCCCAATATTTAAGAGTTTACTATATATATATATATATATATATATATATATATATATATATATATATATATATATATATATATATATATATATATATATATATATATATAACTTATTGGGTATCCCTAACATAGATAGTTGCTTTCACATCTTTTGTCGATCTACTCCATCAAATTTTATAATATCTATATGTAATTCCTGATAATATCTTGTAGACGACATTGAAAACTGTTATGCCTCTATAATTTTTTCGGAGTAGTTTCGAAGACTTCTAGTTTTCATATGCGGTCGAATAGTTTATGGATACGCCTCCATAGCGCATATCTATCATTCTTTATCAGTTCTGCAGTTATTATATCTGTGTCAGGGGCTTTGTTATTCCTTAGATGTTTTATGACGTTTATGGTATCTTCCAATGTTGGTTGCTCAACTAGTTGTTCTGCTGTGTGGTGAATTATTTCATCATCTTCGTTTTGTTCTTTGTCTGGGTTTAACAGCTCTTGAAAATGCTCCTTTCACATTTTCATTATTTCCTCTTTCTCGCTGATAATAATTGCCCCATTTTGCTCTTGTAAACTGTTGATCTTGTCGTGTATCCTTGGGTGTATTGCTTGGTTTCCTTGTAAAATTTTCTAGACTTTCTTTTGTTATTGTAATCTGTAATTACTTGTTTTTTTCTATTCAATATTACTCTATTTTTCCTTCTACATAACTTCCTCATAGCAGTTCAATATAACACCCATGTTCATCAAGAAAGACAAATCTCTGTTTTTCGTTAATTGTTTTATATTTTGCATAAACTAACAGAATCTACTAATATTTTAACAAATTTAACAAATTTAACAACAACAAAAACATTTAACTGCATTGATCTTGTGCTTTAAACTGAATTAAAATGATTAAATATGAAGTAATGCCACTTATTAAACTAGGTATAAGCCTTTTGTTTATTTTAAAAAAGCCTGATATTGAAAAACTAAGAGGCAATGCTGCTATCAAAGTTGACATATCAATCAACTGCTCTTTAAGGCGAGGTTCTTGAACTTCAGATTGCAAGATTTTGCAGAGGGTGCCCAATTTTTCTCCAGCCTTTTCAACGTTCTCACATGATATTATACAGCGAACGACGAAGCACTGCAACAAATTAAATAAAATTAGCTGATAACATTAAAAAAATGATATTCAAAATATACAAAAAATAATGTTTATCTTTAACCCATTATAAGTCAGCATTCTATTTGTAAATCATTGGAAATTTTAGTTTTTTCTCTTAAAATTTGTTTAAAATTAACAAAAAAAATATTAAAATCCTTTGTAAAAGGTATATATTTAAAAACCCAAACGGGCTATGTTAGACAAAACTTTTTCGAAATCCATATTCCATCATCAGCGTCTAGGTGTACATGAATGTAGTCACTAAATATATGGGTAAAAACCCGTTAAAAATTATTTAGTTAAATTTAGTTTACATTATTTCTCATAAAATATTAAGATGTTAAAGTTACCGTTGGATTAGATAACATGGCGACATATGACTCCACGTGAAGTTGCTAGTCCTGAGACGGTGTGTCTACGAGGACTTTATGAAAGCAGTTGCTTTCCTCGTAGTCCGATGTCAAAATATAACTTTGAGACAGAATTAAATATCATCAAGCAAATAGCAGTAAACAACGGATACAACGAACAAACAATTAATAAAATGTTAAATCAAAAACTACACAAGACAGCCCTGAAATTAGTATTTCCACCACCAGAGAAAAAACCCAGTACCTTCCGCTCGATTACATATACAGGAAAAATCTCAACTTAAATAGCCAAACACATAAAAAAGAAAGGAATAACACCAGCTTTCCGAACAAATAACAACCTAGGCAAATATATCAAAAACAACAAGAGCCAAAATAAAAAACACTTACACAGTAGTGTGTACAAACTTAAATGTGACGACTGCCCAAAAACTTACATCGGTCAAAACTGCTAGAAACTTTAATAAACGAATAGCAGAACATAAAAGGCCTTTCAATAATAGTAAAACAGATTTTACTTACGCACTTCACCTTCTAGATCACAATCATTCTTTTAATAACGAATTTAAAATTCTTCACGTTCAAAATAAAGGCCTTAAGCTATCCTTGTTAGTATCTATGGAAATCAACGAATTAATAAACACATATATAATTCTGAATGACCAACTTAAGACAAACAGTTTTCTCCTCCTCAACCTATTTTATCACTTGAGAAAGGCAATCAGCCGAAACAGTTGTAGTGATAAGAGATTAAAATAAATTTTGTGGAAGTTTGAAAACAAAGTTTTCAGTATTTTATTGTTACATAAAATGAATTTCCATCAAGTTACGGTCGAATCCATCAATTATGAATCACACATTATTTTAAGAAAATTACAAACCAAATACAAAACGGTATTCCATATATGGCGCACTTCCTCTATAGTTAAATATCTTATTTAGTATTTGCCCAGGTCATCTCTGTAAGTATTTCTTGACTTTTTTAGTAGTTAGTTATCCCAGTCTCCCAAAAAAGAAATACTTATTCACGAACTTGCTCTCCAATCAAAACACGAGTAGCCGTTAGCAAAGATTTCCATGTTTTTGCTTACCCTATCTCTTATCCCCTATTTTGCTCCAAGCCTAGTAATTGTTCTGTCCCCCATTTTAGCCCCTTATAAGCAAATTTTATTGTTACAATTGGCGCCCAACGTGGGGCTTGTTTATATTGTTACAAATGGCGTCCAACGTAGTCGGCATATTTTAAATTGTTACATCTGGCGTCCAACGTGGTCGGCTTGTTTATATTGTTACAACTGGCGCCCATTAACTTGGGACATGTTTTAAATTGTTACAATATCAGAAGAAAACTGAAGAACTGATACTAAAATACAAAAAGGTATATCGACCATTAGGTAGAAGCTCACAACATACAATCAAAAACAAAATATTAGTTTATTAAAATGCTCAAGCTACTATGGTCTAATGGTCTACTATGGGATTGTACAGTAGCTATGCTTGCGTTCAAAGAGTCCAAAACCGAATAATAAGTAACATAGTCAACGCTCCATTGTATATCCGTAATAAGGACCTATATTAGGAATTCCGTATAGTAACAAATAAAGAAGATTGTCAAGGGTCACGAAACTCCATAACCATAAAAACGGGAAGTGTTAGAACTACCAGATAATCAAGTCAGCAAACCTTTTTGGTGATAGTGGTAGTGATGATAGTGATAAATGTATAAATATCTGTTTAAATTTGAGCAGTGAACCTGGTCACAAGAATGAGGTGTGCAACAATAATTATTAGATTTTAAGGTGAATCATTTTAAATATGGGAATCCGTGCTTTGCGGAAGAAGGCGATCCATAGGGATGACTGTAGAGAAATTGGTAATTCCATTGAAAATACCTGGGACAGTAAAATAGCAGATTAGGTTACATACAAGGTTATCAACCTTATAGATATACCCATTTTACTTACCAATGAAATAAATATGTATGAGCCCCTAAATATTTCGCAAACTACGTCGTTACCATTTTCTGTAGATTCCTTAGAAAACCCAAAAAACATGTAACTCATACTTTTAAGACATCCAACAAAAACAGTGGATATTCTTATCAAAATAATTTTAGAGAAGACAGTATTATAATCAACAACTGCTTGCTGTATTCTCTTATAGGACATAATGATGTCCTGTACATTCCAAGGTCCTTTACATTTACAAATGGTTGTTTCAACTACGATTAATTTTGAGGTTTTGGATACAATTTTCAATTGGTACTTTAGAATATTGACTATTTCTGTAGATAAAATATCAACGATTAATATCTTGGTTGACATAATTACACGACACATAGTATAGAGTGAAAATCCGGGATTTTTCGCTTGTATAAAAATTTGAAACACACAGGTTAGAATAAAATATATCAAGTATCCACAGGCTTTAAGCGTAGTAAGGAGTTTCGTCACTACAGAAATGTTGGTACTACTTTTGGTAAAATACAAAGCTTCAGACAACTGATTCCATATTTGGTAATTATTGATAAGACCAATTAAACAAATCATATCCAAACAAAAATCAAGAAATATTGATATATAAAACATACTGGTCTGCAATTGTGTATAATTTTCAGGTAAATCGTGAACAGCATAGACAATTCGCGTAATGGTAAGCACAGGTGTTATTGTGAGTAGTATATTTTGAATGACTCGTTTTGATCTTCTATTCCAAGGAGTTACTGCCAATACTGAAGCTATTTTAAAGTAAATTGTTAACAAAACATTATTTGTAAAAGTGTTTTTAGTAGGTACATGTGTGTACATCTTTTATAATTATGATACTGATTAGATTTTGTTGTAAAGGAGGGTAGAACACTATAACATTGATCAATTTGTAAGGGATTGTCTACTAATGATTATATAACACGATATACGATTAAGCACTAAATAACGATATTCATAAATATTGTATGGCAAATATAAATTGTAGTACAATATATGAAAGAGAATGTTTGTTAATGTAAAAAAAATGTTAATAGTCCATTTCCATCATATTGATAGCACATTATATATGCAAATCCCTAAACTGTTGATACGGGTGACTCAATGAAAAATAGATATTTGTCAACAAGTTTACAGAAGTACATAGGAAAACAATTTTAAATTGAGTATGACCACCAGGTATAAAGGTTGAAGCAGAATAGGATACAATAGTTTTGAGGGTTACTAATCCCTAAATAAAGTTGCCAGTGTCAGAGTGATGGAGATTAACAGGTACTAATGAATTTGCAAGAAATGTAAGATATTTATTTTATTGGTTATACATAAAATAATTTGTGGCCGTAACAGGGGCCGATTTGTAAAAAAATGAATATTATTTTAATCAAATTCCATTTCAGATTCACTGCTTTCTTCAGAATCTAAGGAATCTTCAACTCCAATGTTAATTATTACCGGTTCCAGCATTGCATCAGTCATATTATCCAAATTCCACATTTTATTTTCTTCCTTGTGTGCATGACTAACAGCATTTTTTCAATTTTCTGGAGTTACTTTTGATAAGGAATGTTCTAATAATTGTTGTAAGTCTTCTAATTTAAAAGTTTTGTTGCTGCGTCCGACTTCACCCTTTACTTGAGACCATATATTTTCTATCGGATTCAGATCACAGTGGTATGGGGGTAAACGTAAAATAATTACATCACTGTTTAATTCCATTCCATTAATTATATATTTTTTATAAGCTGATTTATGTTGCCTTACAATAGGTAATAATTCTTTTTTTGTCGAATTCTCCTTGTACTCAATTGTGTGTTTATCCAACCATTTAATTATCTCTTCTTTTTTCTATGCCGTTGTTGGCAATTTTTCTGCTAGTCTTGAATGGTAACTAGCATTATCCATGACTATGACAGAATTTTTTGGAATTAAATCCAACATTTGCTCAAAATATTCTTCAAAAACGTCAGCAGTCATTTCCTCGTGGTAATCTTTGGTTGATTTTGAGGCAAAACTTCCACGCAAAATAATCCACCATTGACAAAACCGTATTCGTTTCCAATATGGGTTATTATGAGTCTGCTTCCTTTTCCAACGGAAATATTGTTTATTCCAGTAGATACACCTTCGATGAATGTCTGACGGGAACTTTTCACATTTGTATCAACCCATATATATGTTATAGTATGACCTTCATTTAGCCAAGTTTCGTCCAAATAAAAAATTGTTTTCCCTTCTTCTCGGTACTTTTTACTAGTTCTTAGATAATCTCGTCTCCAACATACAATGTAATCTTTTTCAATTAAAATGGATTGTCTTCTATTCTTTTGCCAACGAAATCCCATCTCTCTCAATAGTCCCCATAATTTCTTGTTGTTTATGATTGGTAACTCTTCGTTTTCTCTAATTAATGTTTGAATTTTGTCCAATGTTAAAAATGCGTTGTTAAAAAAAATGAGTGGACGCTGCGTCTTATCATGTTTTTACGTATTTCTTCAATTTCCAAGGGTTTACTCCCTCCACTTTTCTTGGGAGATGAAACAGTTCCTATTTTTCTTTCTTTTAGGAATATATAAATTGTTGCTTCTCCAACCCCTGTCATATTTAAACATATGTTAACGATTTCACGAACATTACTTAAAGGGCGTTGATGTACAAGTGCATCGTGTACATTTAATATTATATTTTTCTCTCTTAGACTGAAGGCACCTTTAAAACTACACTTAACCGGAATAAAACCTGTTGTCGACGTCATTTTTAAATGCAAATAACAAAATTTCGACACCAAAAACGTAGGTAGGTAAGACATGAACAATGTACATCTACAAACTAAATGGAAGATGCAAACAATTTCTAATTTATATTATTGGCATAAGCTATAATGTGGCATAAAAACTACTTAAACTATCATTAGTGAAGCCTTATCAGTAATTCCAGGTAATCGTTCAAAGAAGGTATTCTTTTTGTGTCAGGCGATAACTTGTATAGAAAACAATAATCACCTTTAAATTACTGTTTACATTAATTTATTTCGTAAAACATTGAATTCTCTCGTTAATCACCAGTGTATAGTTAACAATAATCGTGTGGCATATATACCGATGTTTTTTACTCACAAAAAGGTATAGTGAGATTAGTGGACACTTATTTTACAGAAGATTTTTTAAAAGATAATGGATTGTTGACGGCATCTTAAAATATTATTTTTTTATTTGTTTGTTTATTTCAAAACAAGTATAGGGTGACGCCTATGGTTTTTTTACCTGTTGAGGATTTGCATACATAATGTGCTATCAATATGATGGAAAAGGACTATAGTTATCGTTATATACAGTACTAGTCAAAAGTCTGTTTTTCCACTCGTATATTTTGAATAGTAATATTTTTTACTTGTAATAGTGAAATTTGGAGGGAGGTAACAAACAAACGTAGGCTTCTTAACTAGTCATAACAGTTGACGTAATAGTGACAGATGTCGTTATCCGAGATATCCCACTTTCTTATCGCTTCGTCAAAAATTTCCGAAGTCATCCACGCACTCTTGTTTGCTTTATAGGTCACCGGTACATTTTTTATGTTTTTAAAGCAACGTAGGTTTTTTGACGTCCCTATCACAAACAATTTTCGCTTCACTAAACCTGTCATGTTGGTGGCCACTAAAACTGTAATGCGTTTCTAGAGAGCTTGCCACCAACGCACTTTTCCGATTTAAATTTTAAATTTCTGTTTGTCATTTTAAAAAACAATTAAGTCTCATCAGTCTTGAAAATGTCGTCTGACGCATATTGTGCCTTTAGTCCATGCCACACGTTTTCTAGTCAATCATTCGTTACGTTTTTGTTAACATCGCGAGACTCTCCGCTGATTTGCCCGTAGTTAATTTTGTGCCACAGCTTCCACTTGCTCATCCAACCCTAAGATGCCTTAAAATTCTCAATTCCAAATGAAAAGTCGTTTTTGATTCTGACTACACTGTCTACGCCTGTGAGTGTAAGTTTCGTTAGTTGAACAAGATGAAGCATTTGAAATTCTACCATAGTCTGGAGAAATTTTTGTCTGTTGACTGAGTCGTATGCTGCTTTGAAATCCACGAATATGTGGTGGGTATCGAACTCAAGCGTTTTCTCAATAATCTGCCTGACTGTTGAGAATTGATCTTTTGTTAATTTATTGAGTCGGAAACCGCAATGGTAGTTCCCAACAATTTATTCAGCATAGGGGATCAATCTTCTGTACAATACGTTGGACAATACTTTATATGCCATGTTAAGTAGGGTGATGCCTCTATAATTATCACACACCATCATATCTCCTTTTTTGTGAAGAGGGTGCATTACACCTAATTTCTAATCTTTCCAAACAAAAGAGTTCGGCAGAAAGATTGCATAAACCAGTGGCTTTGTTATTTTTCAGTTTTGAAATGGCTTCTCTAATTTCTACTTTAATGGGGGGGGGGGGGCGGCTCTTGATAGCCTTGATATGACAACTCCATATAGTAATACTGGAAGAACGTAGCACCTCACTATCAACATCTTGGTTACCAAACTGAGATCACTGCAGCACAGCAAGGATCTCAACTTAAGAATAATGTAGACCGTGCCATTTCAATTCTGGATCTAAACTCTTGAGCGTAGTCCCATTGTACGTTGAGGGTAGTGAATCTGTCGACTCTCTGGATCTCTTCGCTACTTATCATTAGTGCCCCAGGATCTAAATTAGTACGGCTGACAACCATGAATTTATTTTCTTAATATTGAGGTTCAGTCCGTATGTTACGCTCACAGTTCGCACTCGGTCTAGTAAGGCCTGCAGATCGTTTAGGCTGGTTGCTAGTAACACAGGGTCATCGGCGTAGTGGAGATTATTGATGTATTCACCGTTCACTCGGATTCCCATGTCTAGGTTTGTGAGGGCTTCATTAAAAATCTCCTCAGAGTATATATTGAAAAAAATCGGCGATAGCACACATCCTTGCCTTACTCCTCGTATGATCTTCACTTGGTGTAGAACTGGTCTTCGACCTTGATTTGAGCACGCTGGTTCCAGTATAAATTCATGATGATCCGAATGTCGTTCTCATCCAATTCTACTCTTTGTAGTGCGGTGACCATCTTCTGGTGCTGACAACGGTCAAATGCCTTGGCGTAGTCAATAAAACTAATATAGACATCACAACTGACATCGCGGCATCTCTGAAGTAGGACTTGTAAGGTGAAAAGTTCCTCACGTGTACCCATGGAATTGCGGAATCCGTATTGCATTTCACCGATATTTTCTTCGCATTTCTTGTAAATTCTGGCATGTATGATTTTAAGAAAAATTTTAAGTGCATGACTCATAAG